TGCCTGTGTACCCACAGTGGTTTACCCCCAAGGGCAGAACTTGGCTGCCATAACCAAGAGCAGCTTAACAGGCAATCTGGTTTAAGCAAAGTTTTAATGAAGGTAGGTAGAAGTAATCTGGTGTCGGATCAGATCTGGAATTTTAACCAAGATACTCCTAATCTGTGAACATGCACATTTCTTCTCCTGTTTTGAGTTACAAGCATTATAAAGTTTATTTTAAAGTGGCATAAACATCCACTTTTGACAAGCATTACAAAGATTCTCAACTAGTTCAACTGTGCCATTCACACACTGCTCCGTCTGAAGGCAGTGTTTATTTTTGTTGTGTAGAAAAAAAACAGTAATTCCCCATCACCACAACAAATTGTTTATAATTGCTACTGATGCAATGAAACTTACACTATGATGAAAATATTTTACTGTGTATAATATTTGGAACTACAACTTTGTGTTACTTGTTTAACTCCCTCTCTTTTGCAAAAGAAAAACTGTTATGTTTTTGTGGGTGAATGTGTACTGAAAAGACAGAAGGTAAGAGGAACAAAAGTAATATATCTGCTTATTGTTGTGAAAAAAAAATGTATTTGTATTAAACAAATGACCCAAATCACTGTAGTATTCTACATTTGTCACTTTGTAATATAGAGCTGAACACAAACTGGTAAGCAGGAGAGGTGAACAACATACTCGGCTGCGTACACTTCACAGAATCACAGCATGTTACGGGCTGGAAGGAACCTCAGAAGGTCATCTAGTCCAGCTCCCCCGCCAGAGCAGGATCACCTACAGTAGATCACAAAGGAACGCGTCCAGGTGGGTTTTGAATGTCTCCAGAGAAGGAGACTCCACAACCTCCCTGGGCAGCCTGTGCCAGTGCTCTGTCACCCTCACAGTGAAAAAGTTTTTCCTAATATTTTTGCGGAACCTTCTATGTTCCAGCTTGAACCCATTGCCCCTTGTCCTGTCATTGGACTTCGCCAAAAAGACCCTGGCTCTGTCCTCCCAACACTCCCCCTTGACATATTTATAAACACTAATGAGGTCACCCCTCAGCCTCCTCTTCTCCAAGCTAAAGAGACCCAGCTCCTTCAGCCTTTCCTCAGAAGGGAGATGTTCCACTCCCTTAATCACTCCCTTAATCCACTCCCTTCATAGTGATAAACCTGGCAGCGCAGAAGTGGCTGGTTTTGGGTACCACAGCTTGCCAGAATGCTCAGGAAAACACCTCACAGTACAAAACATTTGAAAATAACTATGGCTATTTAACTTGAAAGAACTCTCAAAAAGCAACTGGTTTTAAATCCTCGGCAAAATGAACAACTAGTACTGGGTTTCTATGGCAGTAGGATAAGAGGAAGAAAAATTCCTAAGGAGAGCAGGGATTTGAAATGAATTGTTTGTTATATAGGATTGTGCAATGTCCAACACGAGAAAGTTTTAAAGATGATTTAGACAAACAGTTGAATGGTTCAGAGCTAATCCCACCCTAGACTGTCAGAATAGACCATGTTCCCTTTTTTATTATTTTCAACTTTGCAGAGATTTCCTCCTTTTCCAAAACCCCTAAAGAGAAATGCTTTTAATGAGTCTTCGAAAAAATTACATTTCCTACAGCCATGGCCAACAGACTGTTCACTTTATAAAAGCTGCCTTAACTAGCTTACCATGTAAATCAAAGATGGAGTCACAAATCCCTGCAAGATACAACACAAACAACATAAGCAAAGAAATTCTAGTAACAAAGATAAATTCATTCCCATTTATTAGCACACGTAAAAATAGAGCTGGAGAGTGCAGGCCCCACACAAACTCACTCTTTTATTAGGTGCAAATACTTATGACTAACTGAATCACAGAACTTCCTTTTTTTTTTAAACAACTCAAAAGGTAACCTATATGAAAATACAATAATCAGCACTATTACAAATAAAAACCAAAGATGACAGATCACAGCAATTTTCAAGTGTGTTAACTAATTTAGGTCCTATTTTAGCAACAGACAACCCCTCTTAAAAGCCTCATGGGAAACTGTCCAGCCTGTATGATGCAAAGGATAAATCTTTCTTATTTCTTTAGTTGTCTGGTTCAATAAATGGCATGAGTTGTTTTTTTTTTTTTTTTTCTTCAGGACTATCATATAGTTATAATGCCTATTTGAAGAAATAAGGCTGCAATGAAGTGTGGATCATTACATATGCACATGCATATGACTGGGGACATGGCAAACAGTATGTTCCAGGAAATTTAATAATGGTTCACAAATAGCATAGAAGTGAAAAGTAAAGCAGCAAGATTTAGACTGGTTATACTGAAATAAACTCAAAAAAGAACAACAAGCAATCAGCACAATTTTAATGGTGCTCAGAAGTAAGACTGCTACTTACATGGCCATGAAGAATGCAGTGAAGGCTTTAGTGAATCTTCTTCAAGTGCCCCTTCTGCTGGTCCATTTGAAGAGCTAGAGGAAAACGAAGAAGTATGGGTAAGAATTTTTGGCGAGTTCATGTCCTAGCAACAGCACTGTCACTTTATAAATTTTCAAAGCAGTATGTTTCTGTCTTGGTTGACGACGTGTGAACTTGGGTATCAGCTGGCATTAGTAGAATGCTGCCACCTTTCTGTATTTCTTTAGAAAATGTATCTGGTTTTAGAGTAATGCTGGCATTTTGGTCTAATAATTTAGATTAAAGTTTAAATTGTTTTATTTTTCCATTTGTAACAGGTAACCAGATCCATATTAAATTCTTCCTCATAGCACAACTTGACAGTATTTGCAATAGAAGCAGTTAGGGAACCTGATTGCAGGACCACTACACTGTCTTCTACCATCAGCTTATTTTTAAAAGTTTCATTATAGGAACTCTGTATAGGCTCTTGCCAGCTGTATTTAAGGCAACAGCTTAAACTGCATAAATCACAACATCTCATTAGCAATTTTCTTACCTTCATAAAACTTCTGTTGGGGAAGAACATCTGGAAGTCAATTACAATGAATTTTTACTCTTGAAAGAGCTAGAAGATAGAAATATTATGTATGCATTGTTTCATACCAAGACTGACCAAACAGGAAAATTTGACATAATTCTGTAGTGCAGGCATTACTTTGCCCTTTTACTTGAAAACTAAGCCCAGAGAATTCCTTAAGCAGAGAAGTTCCTTCTGCTGAGAAAAAAACAGTAACATCCTTTTTTACTACTCTCATACCTACCAGGTGTCTAGCAAAAAAAGCTTTTTAAAAGTTGGACTTCAACATACGCATTTTTGGATCTGAGACTTTGTCCTCACATAAGACAGTGTCATTACAGAGATGAGTAAATACACTATTGCCATCAAAGACAAAAAAAAACCCAAACCACACATAAGATATCCTTTAGCTACTTTTAACTCTCCTTTAAATAAGATACCATTGAACTACTTATGAATGGTTCAGAAAATGGTTCATATATGTTGTCTTTTTGACTTGTTGCCTCCTACTGCACATACTGGAGTCCCATACAGATCAACACATACTTCAGTAGAGGAAAAAAAAAAATTACAATCTTGAGGATCCAAGTGCTTCACTGTATGCTTGTTTCTCCACATCCTGAACGTTAGAAGTCTCATCCCTTTAGAACCAACATTGTGGGGCAGAGTGGAAAGCCATGGTGAACTGTTCCATTAATTCAATGTTATTTCCAACACTAAAGAACTGTAAATTGATTAATTCACTACATACAACCAGCCTCAAGAAAGATACTTGTGTTTTTTTTAAAATCATACTGCTACTGGAATTAAAGTCTGCTGTTATTTTCCAGCTGAGACCATCAATTCAATGTAAAAAGTTCACACAAAAACTACTCTTTCTTCATTACTTATGCAGTAGGTCAAAAAGGTGGTTTAAAAGCCAGCTAAATAAGCAGTAAATATATGGACTTCAAGAGAGAAAATTCACAAATTCAACACAGTCCAAACTGTAAACATGTTCAAGTGTGAGTAATACAGGTTAAAAAAGAATTCACTTCAAATAATTGACTGTCACATCAACCACACAAGAAATAATTACTGTTTTATAATGCCTTATTAATGAATTGTTTCAAGGAATACAGAACATCTCATTCTTCATAATTTGCATGACTATCTTTAATAGAGCATTCACCAGCCTAATATACCATCATTACTGTGACACCTCCTAGTTACCTTACTGCTCATTTTCCTTCTGTATTTTATCCAATTTGATGGGAAAGTGACTTTTTCTGCAATGTTTCTTTTTACAATTTCAAAGCTTGTCAGATGTTGTGTATACAAGCAAAAATCTCCTCAAAGCAGAATCCTTCAAAGCACTAAACAAACACTTATAGGGCTTTAGTTCAGACGAACTACCCTGGCTCTCACCTTCACCAAAGTTTAACATCGAGTTTTATAAATCAGAACAAGCTGAATTCCACAACACAGCTCAATTTAACACAGTTAAAAGAAAAAAAAAATAAAAATCAAAGGCCTACCCTGAACTTCAGCTCAGGTATTTTTAAGACAAACACAAAAGCATCCTGGGCTGCACCAAGAGCAGCGTGGTCACCAGGTTGCTCGCTTGGCACAGGAGCACTGTGTGTCGGGCAGCACAGGACTTTGGCCGATGAGGCCTGTTGCTGCTCTCCACAAAACTGAGAAAAGTTACCGTTTAGAAGAGTACCTGCTGTTTATATCTTTTCTGGGTAAGGGCTAAGATGTAACGATTCCCCACCAGAAAGTATTTCTAACAGGTGTCTGAATTCTGACTACTCTGCGACCAGGGAAGAGGTACTCAATTAGCCTGATTTTCAAGATACAAACTAAAATTGCTTTGTCAGCTCAGGAGCCTGCATCCTAGAGAGAAGGTAAGGTATGACAACGATGGACACAATTCAGATTTTAAGTATTTATTTATATTAAAAAACATCCAATAATATACAGCTTTACCCAGTAATATACTGTTTACCATAGCCAGAGAGTGAGCTCATAAAAAATGCAACTAGCAAAGTCTTTGCAAATAAAGTTAGAATTTATTCTTGTTTCCAGTGATAACTAAAATAGGTTTCTTAAAATTCCCTTGAGCTGTTTCAGCTCCTGAATCAGCTGGTACTCATTAGGCCACTTCTTCTGCTTTATCCACTGCTTCTTTAGGTTCTACATCTGCCACCTCAGGGTGACTGCAGGCAGCATCCCTAGCTGAGAGCTTTTTCATCTTGATGTTTGGCAGTTTCTTCAGATCACCATCCCATTCTCTTAAAGGAAAAGTAATGAAAAACAATTACCCATAGACATAGGAAGAAGGAATGGCAGAGTTAGTTTCGCTTTTCTTCAGAATATGCAAACTCATGAGGCCGCCTTTCTAAATTATACTGTAGGTCCCATTGCAGTGTGAGTAAGTAACAATGTTTTCACCTGATTTTGTATGCTACAACGGCTGTAATTTCTCTCTGAAGAATTGAGTACTTTCAGATTTGACATTCTGAACAAAAAGTACATGATTCACTTTATTGCCACACATTATGTGTACTCTCGGTTACTTTCAGCCACCTGCTTTTAGGTTTGACACACTAAACTTCCAGTCTTGTAAGCAATGGAAAAGCAGTTTGAACTAGAGTCTCTTCATCCTGATGCTAAATTTGCAGAGCTAGTATCACATGTAGATAAAGTCCTTCATTATGATTAATGGTACCTGTTAACATCTTGTATGACTCACTTCAAGGGGACACAAAATGTTAGCAAACATTAATTAACATAAGTATGTTATTTCAAAAGGCTGCATGAAGGAGGAAGGGTTCATTTAAATACCACCAGTCAGATCCAGTACTCAATTAACAGAATGCTTTCTTCATTATAGTAAGTGTACTTCATAGATAATTTTTCTCAAGGGCAAAGGCAACATTTTCCAATTACGAGACACATGGTTTTGCTCTACCAAAGTAACAAAACAACATCACTTCCATCAGATGTCCCAGTACAAAAAATTAATTGTGTATTTATAAACTCAGCAGTCAGAGGCCTGTCTCGCCTTTGAGATTTCTGGCTTTGTTCCAACACCCTATTAAGTATGACTTCTAGCTACTTACCACCCTTAGGAGTCAGTAGTATATAATTTGTAATTCTTTTACGTTTCTTTGTTTCCTTTCAAGGGTCTCATTTCATAGAGCTGTCAGCAAGAATGTTCATTCAATCCATTACCAAGGCAGCACCAAGTTCCACAGCTCCCAGATCTTTTAACTGGATGCGAGTCATCAATTTGCTCACAATTTTCAACTAGTCTGTACACACAAACACTGCTGTGCTACAGCAGCTGGATCTTAGAAAACATGACTAAGAACTTAGTGCTGGTTTAGTTACTCAGTGGCAAGTTCTGACTATAAATAACTTAGGTCACTACGCTGTACAACTACAATTACCACCTGAAATCTCGATTCAGTTAAGAACACAGTGTTATTCCAATATCAATACCTTGTCTGCTTTTTCAAATGGCAAATTCCTTGTCAGTTTTACATAAATTCTTTTAAGAAAAAAGACATACAACATGTCAAATTCAGAAATACTGTTTTGCATAACCAGATTAGTAGTGATAATAAAAAGAACTTACCTGAAAAATTTAAGATGCTTTCTGTTCATAATGTCTGGGATTTCTAATGGGAATGAAATTAAATTCTATTAAATGTGCTACATTATTCAAGGGAGTCTCATTTCAAAGACAGAAATGTGAGCTAAAGTGCTGAACACATTATTTCAGAGAGTAAAAGACCAGGAAAATGAGAATGAGGATTCATATTAGAAAGTTTCTAGACCAATATATAAACAGAAAGACCTCTCACTGCTAAAGGAAACAACGTGAACTGATATCTGTGAATTGTTCTCAAATTCAAATGTACCAGTTACTAAAAAATCCAATTCTCACAAATCACAAAAAGAAGGTGCTTCATTTTTCTCTAAACTGACACAACTGAGATATAGCAAAATTTGAAGGAAATGAAGTTTCCCTTTAAAAATAGCCCAGTGAAGAAACCAGGACAATAATTAATTTATTGTTTGTTTTAAAAACATAACTAGCATCCTCAACCAAGATTAAGGTCTGGTTATGCTATTTTTTAACAGACACTCACTCAGCCATGCAATAAAATGACAATTTTGCTTTGTAGAACTTACTACAAACATACACAACACACAAAAGTTAAAGTAAGAAAGCTCAGTTTCAAATCTGACCTAAATATGTAGGCCTTACTCTAAATTAATGAGTACTAAGTGACCCGTAAGTATCCCCATGTGTTTCCTTGTCTAGTCGAGAGGGGGTGTCCCTGCCCACGACAGGGAGGTTGGCTGGAAGGGACCTTAGAGATCATTTAATCCTAGGCCATTCTATGATTCTATGATTTTGAAATGTTTTTGGAAAAAAAATTTTTAAAGCACTTAAGTCACCACTGCAAGCAAGACAGGTCAGCAGTAGTGGTAGCATAGTAACTCTGATAATCCAGGAAAACATAACAAACAAATGCACTTTGTAAAATTTACAGTGCAGTAACATATGAGTGTGTGTGTGTTGTTAAAACATATACACTGGAAAGAGTACAGTAAGATGCCAGTGTTTAAATAAAACACATTCTTGAACTTTGGAGTATAAGGCTACTTCCCTCCACCCGCAATAACACAGCCTGAGAGCAAAGAAACAGCTATTTGATAACAATTAGTCACACTCCAAAGACATTATAGTTTCCATTGTTAAAAACTTGTTCTATAAACCACTCAATACAGTGAAACCAGCATTCTGTGGTCGCTGAAATGCCCGTTAAATACTGCAGTAAATGCAATGTAATTTTATGTAGACTGTTGGCAGCCGTCTCCTCTCAGGAGCTGATGTTCCTCTCAGTTGAACAGAAACAAACATCAATAGCTGTAATATGACTGAAAATTTTCAGTCTTCCCCACTAACAGAAATAAGTGACATATACTCATGACAAATTCTTATTACCTTTGGTAGTAAAATAGAAGGCAAACATCATGTACAGAGACCTATGGAACAAAGAATCTTTTTTTTTTCTTTTTTTCCTCCTGGAGCAGCCAAAACGTTCCTACTAAGTGTGTAGTTTATAAACTCAGGCAGAATTTTACCTTGGATGCCCATGCTGCTTTGCCTCGAGTCACTGTCATTCTTCTCTTGGTCAGCCCTAAAGTATTGCAAGTGGCCCATGTTTAACATCTTTGTTTATAAAATTATAGAGATTTATGCCTTAGGAGTCTTAAAATTTTTGCACAGTATAAAATACCTCATTACTGTCTCTGAACTGCACATACTTCACAGTCAGCAGGCTTCCCAACAAGGAAGACACTTGTTACCTCTGTCATATTAAATCTACTTTATTATTTTAGCTCTTAAAAATGTGACAACTCACCAACTTCTTACACGATCCTTGCGCAAACCCTAAACACATAGCTCTGCCTTTGTGCATCTATCAAATTTTCCAAGCCCTATGGTAATAAATCAGATCATGCACTGAATGCAGGATTATAAATTACATGAATGAAAGACGATTATACCTGTCACTTATCTTTGTAGTCTTTACTATTCAGAAAAGTATTCCTTCCTTTCACACTGGGTTATGAAGTTACCAAGTAAAGAACAGTAATACATGCAAAATGCTTTGGTAACAATTACACTGTTTTCTGTAGCCTGGTTCTTGATAATTAGACATGGTGATACTGCTCACAGCTGAGCAAGGCAAAGAAACCTTTACCTAATCCTTTTTCTGCTGCCGATTCCTTGGTTCTGATAAACATCGATGACAGACAGGGCCCAACTATGCATTGAAACAAAGTCACGGTCCCTCTTGCTTTCCTTGCAGTCCCTTGAAACTGCACTCTTGGCAGCACAGGACCAAACGCTGAAACATCCTAGCCCCCTCCAAGAAGAAAATTCTTCCTTTCTCTCGGGAATTTTACAAGGAACAATGCCTACTCAGTTTACTTCTAGGACAGACCTTCCTGATGTAAACAGCAAGTTTGAGAGAAGTGGCATCATGTTAATTTGGGCCAATGGCTCCAGAAATATGCTGAGTCTTGGATTTGTTTCTTCTGTCAAAAGCACTGATCCAGAAAACACCTCAGTGTTATTCTCTGACAAACCTGGATTAATGACAAGACTTTCAATGAAGCCCTTTCAATTCTTTGGAAAGGACTTAATGGCTTTTATTAATTTATACAGGACTTTGGAGAAAGATAATATTCTAATTTTTATATAGCCTGTCACCCAGGACTCACCAATGTCACAAGAACGTAGGCAGTCTAAAAGGGGGACATTCAGTGACAAACCAAGACTTGGCACTGGATCGATCTTTACTGCTTTGGCAGTGGCATAATTTTAAGTTATGTTTACACAGGTCTTTGCATCACGTTATACAATACAGGTCACAAAGCTGCCAGACTAGGAACCCAATTAGAAACTCTAGTCCCATGTGTATAGAAATAAAGCAACTATATACTGTACAGTAACTCATGGTTTTTATATTATAGTGGAAAACCACAGTAGTACTGTAGGTTGCCCAGAGAGGTGGTGGAAGCCCCATCCCTGGAAGTTTTTAAGGCCAGGCTGGATGCAGCTCTGAGCAACCTGATCTAGTGGGTGATGTCCCTGCCCATGGCAGGGGGGTTGGAACTAGGTGATCTTTCAGGTCCCCTCCAACCCAGACAATTCCATGATTCTATGATTTTCAGAATAGTAGCACTTGTCTTAGATGTATCTGCTTAGCAGGCACCACTGTCATAGTTTTTGCTTACACTTGTGAATTTCTTAGTTTGCTTTAGAAATAAGTCACGGGAGCATGCTTTTCTGAACTAAAGACAGAAAAAGTGGGAGACAGAGAAATATGGCAAAGGAGTAGTGGAAAAGAAATTAAGACAGTATTTTAGGGAGCAGGTATTGTCTGGCATTTCCAAGACGAAGTATTCAGCAGCCTACGTGTTATAATAGAAGAGCAGTGAAAAGTTTAAGTTAACATTTTTTTCATGTAGACAGTTTTTTTTTCCCATCTTTCTCTGAGAAAAAACAAACAGCATGTTAGCTCTCCAACTTTGTCACAAAGATGTTAGTTCTTAACCCTAAGTGACTGAGCTTAATTTACAACACAGAACCTGCAGAAAGTCAGCACCTTTCCAACTGTTTGGATGGAGAAGTGCTGGACCAGATTCCTTCAAAGTTCTCATACACATCAGAACTAAAAAAGCTTCTGAGGTGCAGGTGTAACTGATCTTGCCTCTGTACGCAGGCTTGAACGCGAGGGCTTCTAAAGCGTAACTGGAGAAAAGGGGATAGAGGAGCCAGTCCTGGTGTGAGACTGCGCTTCTACAGCCATATCCCACAGCTGCATGACAATCTGCTGAGATGTTTTGTTTCCTTCTAGAAGAATGCTGTTAATAAAAATTCTGCGTAGCAGTAACCACTTTTCCCTCTGCAAACAGAGATTTGCACAAGAGATTTACCTAAATCCCCCACGGACTGAAATGTCAGTGCTCTGTGCATACATCACCTCCACTAGAACCGTCATACAGACAAACACTCAAGTCAGTCCAAAGGATGATACTGGGGCCCAAAGTTAAAAAAGGAAAGGATGCTCTTTAGACAAAGAACCATTCAGTTACTCAAAAATGATCGTTACAGAAAACAGCAGCCAACAAACAATACAGTAGTTACACTAGCAGACACAGGGAAATGACACAATTTTCATTTGAATTAAATCAACTTCCTTATAACCTGAAGTTTCAAGAATTAACTAATAAAACTGGTACATCTAGCTTTAAAGGCCATTTTCTCCAAGTTATGAGAAAACATGCAAGGCAATTCGAAGCAAATTATCAAAAACATATGATGTTAAGATGAAATAATTATGATGCTTTTCAACTGACAGCATCCTAACACTTGAGTTCCAAGGACATATCCTGTATATACCTAGATTTTTCTTCAATAGCTTTGCTATAAACATCTAAGACCAGATTAAAGCAAAACAAAACAACCCCCCCACACACAAATGACAATGTCAGGAAGAAAACTGCAGTAAAATTAATGTAGATACATTTAAGGAGTAAGGAAATGACAGGAGGCTGCTAAAAAAACCTCAGCAACCCCACAGACAGACTGAATGTCCCCTGCACAGGCACTGGGTTATTTTTTAAAAAAAGATTAAAATTTATTATGCTTTTGGATATGTACCACTTCTGTAAACAGCCAATAAAGAGCAATTCATTTTTCATTGACATGTATCTGAGATGGATAGATAGGGCACCAAATTTTAGGAGACCTTCCTAAACGTAAACGATTCACATCACGTAGTCTCTTCACGGCAAATGCACATGCACACTAGAAATAACAGAGTTCAATAAGGGGGGGCGGGAAACCACAACAAATACTAAGTCATTTTTAAAAGCTTCATTCACTACAGCTTCTAGGGATAATAATGAGCTAGAGCATAAAAGCACAATTTTCAGCTAATTTCCATTTATCCCCAATCTCTAATTACAGTATTTAGCGGCAACTATTTTCTCTGAATGAATACCATGCTAGACAGAGAGTCAAACCTGCAGCAGCTGTGGTAACAAATAATGAATAATTTGAGACTGTATTTAGTATCTGAAGTTGCACCATGCTCTCTGAATGCTTTACTTACTAATACTATAATCACCTCAAATTTTGCCTGGAATAATCCTGTATTCTTCTCTATTTTTATGCTGTGCTTGTGCATTTGACATCTTTCCATCTACCTACTCCGATCGTTATTTTCTGTCAGCATACTGCAGTAAGGAAAAAAGGAAGAACTAAAATTTAAAAGCAAAACCAAAAAGGAGACTTTCTACAAATTGTCTATTTGATGACAGTCATCGTATCTATTTTCCCATGTGTTTTTTCCCCTCATTTCCAAGAAAGCAAAGATTACGCATGGAGTCATACAGATATTCCTGAATTCCTCTGCCACTGCAAGTTGTGAAAGTCCTAAGTAACACTAGCAACATTTTAAACCCATCATTTTCTTTATTAGAACAATATAAATAGGAGGGGAAAGGGGAACATGACACACAACCCAAACCTTGCTGTGCTTTTTATCCCAGCCATGGAACAATGCAGATTTTTTTGTCTTCCATGAGATACTGCCACTGTTAGAAGAACTGAATGTGTTTCAGTAATACTTTAGCATTAAAGCCAAGTTCAATGAACTGCAACATGCTTGTTAAAGCAAAATACATAATTTACACTATTTTATACTTGACTCTCCTCAGAATAACTCTTTGGTTTTTATACTTTGATTATCCCTTTCTCCTTTATTTCACATTACTGCTGCTTCCCTCCAGCCTAGTTCCAGTTATCAAATTTTCAGTGTTTTACTTCTCTCTCTCGCATGCAGCTTGCATCTGTGTCCTAGTTCCAAAACAAAAAAATACTTTGAAAAACAGTGTGTTTCTTCTTAAAGATGACCATGCACCTGAAGAAGAAATTTTCAGCTCTAATGCTTATGTTGTGGCTTTCACACATGACTGCTCCACAGAACATTTCATTAAATAATCTGCTGGCTTTGACAGCTACCCCAAAAAAAGATAAATGGTTATAAAAACATCAACGAGAATATCTAGCATTACGATTTTACTCAAACTTGTGATAATGGCCAAGGTGAATGTTTACAAACCTCACAACTGCTTTCAACTAAGTTCTTATGTATAGAATTTTTTATTTTAGATCTCTGAAGTTTTTGTGGGTTTATGATTAAGAAGTTAATTGTTCGTGTCTTCACACACACAGAGCGCTTTTAATCCCTCCACGACCATCTCCAGTAAGTCAAAGAATAGAGAATAACTCACACACTTAAGAACAAGAGGAAAAATGTGTTGTTCCTCTTGTAGGTTATCATTTACACCTGTGGAATAGAGCCTGTAGGGTAGATGTGTCAGAATAGCCCAGGATTTCTTCCCATAATACCTACATTTTAATAGGAAAACTCCAGAAATGCTGTAATCATTCTCCCACATAAAATACATCTCAACCCTAGTGGTACGAATGGTCTCTTTCTGAAGATGTTTCACGCCCACGAGATCAGATGCTTTGGTGCTCTTCAAGTTCATGAACTCTAAAGTCCACTCTCTCATGATACTGGAATTTGCTGAAGTCCCTCACATCACTGGTTCACCTCAGTGGAAGGGGGCAAGTCAAGCCAGTTTTCTCCCTAACAGTAGGTTTATGTATTATCAAAAGAATGTTAGAGAAAGTTGTCTATAAAGATGTCATTGGCACAACAAGTCCAGAATATCAAAGGACATCTAAAACACAATTAATTTGTAGAGAAAGTCATGCTGGCTATTCCGCACATAAGCTAATAAAGTCCTCATGTCATTGCATGTTAAAACATGCACACCTGCTGGAACGTCCTTTTAAGATTAAAAATACCTTGTATACAACAAAGGTCCAAGCAAGCTGGTGAACGGAATTTCTATTTGAAACAGATGCATTAAACCTCATTTTATTTTCAAAAATATATTATATATGCCTGCATTGAAGAGGCTGTACTAGCAAATATGCACAAACAAGCAAAGCAGTAAAGAGGAAATATATGAGTGAGATCTCCACCATCTTTTCTCTCCTTTACTTCACCCTGCCCCTCCTCCAAAACTCCTCTGTGAGGTATAAATACCTGGCAGTTAGTTAATTCTTTTAAAGAGAAAAACAAAGATAATGCCTAGAAATTTCATTATGATTCTAGCCTTGTGAGGAGAGGAGAAGGTGGGACCATAGAACTATTTCTAGTGCTTTCACGTACCCATTCCATAACCTTCATAGAGTTGCCTTTCACGCTCTATGGTCTGCTTGATGACAGTTTCTCGTGAGCCGTGCTGCCTTCCTTGTCTACCTTTAATGCTGTTTTGTAATTCAATCTGCTCCAATTCAGCATTGAATCGACACATGTAACTGAAAGAAAGAAAATGTATATATTTTATGCTAGATGCAGTCAGGCAAAACTTTTGCAAAACAAGATTACTTTGATAATCTAAAAAGTTCTTTTACTAATTGTATGTTTTCTAAATTAGAGATGTTTATTAGATTTGAACTATTAATTTAATCTTCAAGTGGAAGCTCCATTTAGAACTCCATTTGAATCACCTGCAGCTTCCAAAAGAGTAGGTTATTTTTATTTGTCCTTTTTTTCAAAACAAAAACAACCCCAAAAAACTACGTTTGCATAAAACAAAGCTCCTACATTATTATAATTCACCTGCTGTGGAAGACCAGAGTTAAACCTGAGTATTCCTAAACTTTTAATTGCTGAATTTCAGCACTTCAATCATAATTTTTAAAGTAAAGTTCTTCTTTGGCACGTGTTCTACATTCTCTCACAAACACCCAAGCCAAATGCAAAAAATCAGCTTTTATTGCCTTTACAATATCCCTGGCATTGATTAGCAGTTTACAGGTTCCATGAACAGTGTAGGAAATATATCAAAGCTTCTGAAAGGAAACTGATCTAGTACACCTGTGTAAAAATACACATATACTACTACTGTCCCAAGCCATTTAGAGTCCTCCGCACACTATGAAAGCAGAGATACAGTTAAAACAGCAAACAAGACAGTTTACTTCAGTAACTTGTGTGAATATTTACATCTTTCAATATATAATTAACTTCAATCACAACAAAATCAACTACTTGATATTATTAAAAGAAATATATAAAAAGTCCTCCTCCAAGTCACCTATCACCTCTTTACAGATCTTAATTAAGAACGTTATGTTAAAAGACAAATCAAGCTTTTCAATCCCGTTTTTAACACCAGTCTTACTTTTCGATTAGTTCACCAGCTTCCTTCTTTGTGTATTCAATTTTACTGGGGTCAAGGTGACTTTGAAACCATTGCAATTTTTCTCCTACAAGAACAAACTTATCATTAATAATTACACCATCACTGTAGCAGCAACAAAGATTAAAGTTCTTCAAAATTTTTGAAATATCCCGCACATTTTTAAGATTCTGAATGGCAGCATAGACTCACTGATATTATGTGTACCAGGTATGAAGGCACATGTAAAAGAAACATCCTCACAGCATTTCAGATCTATTTTGTATCTTCCTTAGAGAAAAAAAGACATTACACTTTGTTTTACTGGGGGGGCGGTTAGCTCAGTGGTTTGAGCGCGGTCCTGGCAACAAAGACCAACACCGAGGTCGTGGGTTCGATTCCCGCTCAGTCCCCATGTGTTGCCTGGTCTAGTTGAGAGGTGGCGTCCCTGCCCATGACAGGGAGGCCGGACTAGATGATCTCTAAGGTCCCTTCCAGCCTAGGCCATTCTATGATTCTATGAAATTTAAAATATCGCTGAATCAATAGCTTAAGAGGGAAACTTAGGAAGGTCCCAAGGGGATAAAAAAAAATGTAAAAAACACAACACAATGGCTGAGGAAGAGTTCCGATTACTACAATTTTAAAACAGATTAAATTGAAAAGATGCAGTGTCAATCATATGTAAGAGAAAAATATTCCTGGTTGCATCTCAAAGCTTTGAATTTATTTGCTAACACAATTGTGTCTGCTAACCTATATAATCTTCCTCTTCTACAAGCAATTTAAAATAGCACAGAGACAAGTACAATAAATCCATGTATAAAACAGACATTTGGTCTGCACTGTCCTCTTGTCATGTACAATTGACTAAAGATTAGGCTATTATAGAATCACAGAATGTTAGGCGTTTGAAGGGACCTTGAAAGATTACCTAGTCCAAGCACTCTGCCAGAGCAGAATACTCAGCCCCAAATTCAATCCTGTATACAGAATCACAGAATGTTTTGGGATTGAAGAGATCTTTAAAGGCCATCTAGCTCAATGCCCTTGCAGTGAGCAGGGACACGTTTAACTAGAGCAGGTTGCTCAGAGCCCCATCAAGCCTGACCTTGAGTGTTTCCAGGGATGGGGCTTCTATCACCTCTCTGGGCAACCTGTTCCTGTGTTTCACCACCCGGATTGTAAAAAAATTCTTCCTTACAACCAGCCTAAATCTACCCTCTGCTCTAGTTTAAAACTGTTGCCCCTTGTCCTATCACTACAGGCCCTTGTAAACAGCCCCTCCTCAGTTCTCTTGCAGACCCTCTTCAGGTACTGGAAGGCTGCTACAAGGTCTTCTACTTGAGCAAACGTGTCAGGTATTTTAGCATTTCAACAAAGTCTATTTTAAGATTAGAGTCAGATTATAGAGAAAGAAACTCTAACGGAAGTATTTATAAAGTTGGCAAAACTTTAAAAGCTATGCTAAAAAGCTGAATACTGTATTTGAGTAATAAAAGTTTCCGCTCACCAATGATACTCAAACGCAAAGCTTTGTCAGTCTTCAACCTAGCAGAGAAAACAGGTATGTTAGCCAGGAATGAGCACCGTGCAAATAACCACCTTCACTTGTTTTCTTTTTTCTGGAGTCACAATGAAACTCAAGGTAAAATTTCAATTAGAAATCCAGAACTATGTAAATGTTATTCTGCTTTATTTAAAAAAAAAAATATATACTTTTCGGTAAAACTTCTATCTCAAATTTGTCCAGTTTACCTATTAAGTTACACAGTTATTGGAAAACTTAGGACGCAAAACTTTTCTCAGAGCACAGCAAAAGGATCTTCTAGCAAGACCTGCACTGTAATAATTTCACTAAGAATTTCTAGAACAAAAGATTTCACTGCACTGCATCCTTGCAAACCAAGCATACAATGTGAAAAATACCATTCTACTATCAAATAAACTTGTAATGATTAAAGTTTGTGTTTAGTGAACAGTAAAAGTTAATGTATTAAGGAAAAAAACTAGTAACTTTCTAAAAAAATCATGGAAAAAAAAAAAATCAATCTTGAAGTATTTTTAACTCCACCTCAACCTCTGGCAGGATACTTCAAACATTCTGCATTCTGTGGCATGTGTACACAATTCAGTTTGGAATTAATTCCTGTCCTACTGAGTAGTTCTCAGAAAACATAAGTTTCCTAACAGGTAATACAGTGCCTCATGCATTTTCTGTCCTGAGGTGCTCAAATTCAGTCTGCAGCAATGAATGCTGCTGAATGTCATTTTATTTCCAGAAAGAAAAATAACATACTGTTGCCATAAGTATGAAATTAGTCACTGGAAAAAAAAATCTTAGCCATGCAAGTTCAGTGTATATTTCCAAGGACTTCCAATAAAATTGACTTTTTTATTATTATTATTTAGTAAGAAAACTGATAAAAGACAAAGAAAACCATACAGGATACCATTGACAAAGAGCACTAATGCCAAAATTCAACACAGTCCAAAGCTAATGTGCTCCTTCATTAAATTCCTTGTACTTTTTTGTACTTGTACTACACATTCTTTTGACTATAGGATTTAATGAGCATTTTAGAGTTAGCTAAAGTAACTCAAAGCATGAAGTCTGTCATCTGTCACAAAAATTCGAATCAAAAGAATCATCCCTACTTTCTAGAGCCAAACATACTTGTGGCACTTGGCCACAAATGTACATTATTAAAATAAATATTAGCTTTTTCAAGAAGCATTTCATCCTCTGAAGACCTTCTAAAAGCCACATAAAAGCAAATGCACAGCATGTGTGCGCTGCTAAGAATTCCACTAAGGCATTCAAGAAAAGCCTTTTTACTTCTATAGATACTCCAGCATCTGGGATAAGCACTCTTAATGCAAAGGGTTTGAGTTTTATCATACCTGTCAAAAACCCACCAAGCTGGTCGATTAATTAAAAGCTTTTAGTGTTTAAAGTAAAATTACTCTGTTCCTGTGGGTTAAAGGACAGACCTGGATGAGACTATGTGAAAAAGAAAGGAAAAAGGAGTTAGACTGGAAGTCAGCTTTAAAACTTGGCTGTAGAAGACAACTTCAATAAAAACTGCGGTAGGTATGACAGCAAGGTGTTCTGAAAGGTAAGTGATGAAGGAAAGGACACCTATTCCACGCAGTGGAACTCCACACGAGCAGTCCCTACTGTGAACCTTGCAGGGCAACGCAGCCAGCTGAGCACGTCTGCAAAGGGTTGCCATGGAGAAAACTACGATGCCATCTAGAAAAGCTGCCTGTTTAGAATCATAAATCATGTCAAGTATCTATGCCTTAAAACACTACAAATTACCACCTGTACGCATTGCTAGACCCTTTATTCATCAAGGCAATGAAGCATATAACAAGGATTTTTTTCTGGAAGAAAAACCTTCTGTCTCTAGGTGTACACAACTTGCTTCAGTATTATAAATAATGAATGACAGCATCAAATGTTGTCTTATCGTGTTTTTCGTAAAAACCTCACCTCAGCAAGTGCTAGAAGACAACAGCATTAGTCGGGAGGCTAATCGAGTAAGGTAAGTCAAAGAAAGTTCTTCTCGTCTTCCACAAGTAACCTCTTTTGCTCAAGGGTGAGGGATGAAATCTTGTGGCAGGCTTTTGCTTTTTAATGATTTTCTCCTCCTCCTGCCTCCCAAAAATCACCTGCTTAGGCACTGATTATTGATAAAGATGATTAGTGGTTTTCTTAATGTTTCCTAGGTATTTAGAAGGTTAAAGCCCTCATGCTCCATCAGCATGTCTTTATCTCAGGTACTGTCTTCAACTGTTCTACTATAACACTAACAATGAATAAATATTTGCCAAATTTGGTTACCATTTCAGTATTTTTCCCCCTAATATTCACACATACAAATGCCACCTATGGCTCTGAGAACTAAGTTAAGCTCTTTCATTAAGAAAAAAGAATCATGGTTGACGGGACATATTTCCTTGTCTCCTGTTTCAGGGCTAGTGAGATCTAGTTATTGGTTTAGGACCCAGAACCGCAAGATACAGAAATCTTTACTACAAATAGATCACTCTGCTATCACAACACACTTTGGGCAGTCCATACTAACACAAGACTTTTGGTGGAACTGTTTCCCTATCCGAAAGGCAGAGTTACATCCTTTACCACTAGCCTAGAGGCCTCACACTTGAACCAGTAGGGGGGCTTAGAAAAGAAAAGGCAGAAATCAAGAAAGAGAGCCTGAAGAAACAGGTGGCAACCTACACTGTGTAATCTTAAACTGAGCTTCTCTCTACGGAGCATCTCTGCTGTGTGAGGCCTAAAAAGCTTAACCATCAACATCCTAAAAGCCTAAGGGGAAGGACAGTAATCTATATCCTTTCATCTTAGAGTTGCTCCCTATTAAGCACTTTTGCTTGGTGAAGGCATTAGGCATCATTGATTCCCCATAAGAATTCAGGAAAAACCACCTACTCTATCATTAAGCTGCTTGAAGCTCACCTTTTATTAGCTTGCTTGACTGCCAATATTTGTTTTTCATAAAATGGTGCTTTTTCCCTCAGGTAATCCACGACACATACCAAAAGTCAGTCTGCTTGTTTCACTTGGAAGGATTCTGTTGCCACGACTAGTTCCTTTTCCCACACTTCAGAACAAAAGAAGGCTAACCATACTTCTGTAAAGACCACTGTCCCCTAAACAGATTAAAAACTTAATTTATAAAGTTCCAAATATCTTTATAAAGAAAGGCTGAAATAACATGGTAGACTTATATGCGTTAGCAAAAGCAGTTGAACTAAACTTAAATCCTCCAAAAAAAATCTTTCAGAGAGGATTAACCTGTCATTGTGCACAAGGGAAACTGCTGTAGCCCAAATAAAACACGAGGAGCATTTAGCTGTCTTCAGCCACACCCAGTGGCAACAGGTGCTAGGAGATGGAAGGAAAATGCTACATCAACTGTTCACATACTGGTAGTCAAGACAAGGTGTTACTTGCAAAGCACAGGAAGTAAACTCCCTAGATGATCTCTAAGGTCCCTTCCAGCCTATGCCATTCTATGATTCTATACCCTCAATTCACCCTTGAGTAACTTTCTCTAGCATGGAGAAGCTAACTGCTGTTCAACCCAACAAACCCATATTTTTAGTGCTGCAATTATTGGTGCAGTTTAAAAAAAAAATAAAGAAAAAATTAACGTGGTTGAACTGAGAGCTGCGTTCCATGATGTATTAACTGGAGCATCTTCTGTAAAACTACAACCATGAAGGCAAGGGCAGATAAAAGGCTGGTATCGTCATGTGCTGAGCTATGAGACAACCTACTCTGGCAAGCACAAACAGAAATCTACACAATAAGGACAAGGCATTAGAACCAACTCTCAGATGGGCAAGTCTTGAAAGTAATACATTTGGTGATAACTGCTGAAAGGAAATTTCCAATATATCAGAGAACTTATTTTTTTATCTACTACTGGGGGACCCAGAACTTTTTTTTTTTTTTTTTAAAAAATCAGACTTAAGGGTTAAGATCATCACACAAATAAGGATGAGGTGTGTTATAACTGCTTACTATCAGTGCACTTGTGGCCTTTGGTTCCTAAAACAATTCTGATTCCATATTTTGCTCTGTAGACTTCACCTGGCAATGTTAGCAATGGACTAAGAATCTGTTGTCACAGAAGCAGCTCCAGTAGCCCAAGATACCCTGACACTGCTCTGAATATCCTTTAAGCAATAAACTTCTCAGCTGTTCAGCAAAAAAAGCACCCATGTTAGGATTAAGCAATGTCACTTACATACTATGACTTGCCAAATCTAGTGGCCTTGGTAACAAAGTCTAGTCAGGAAAAAGCCAGTGCCTTTTCATTGCTTTTCATGGAAAGGATGACCTAATTACTGAAATATTAATGCAGTAAGCAGAGAAATGAATGATGCATTTGGTACTTTCTTACCATCAACAGATTACCCTGTGCAATCTCTAACATATACCTTAAAATACCTCCATGAAGGAAAGTAATTAAAGAGCAATTACACGGGAGAATACTATTTCAGTGGGAGTTCAACTTCTTGCCATTGCAACAGAAACCAAAAATAACAAGAAACATCAGCACAGGCATCTGTATCAGTATAATTCTACACACAGTCACATGATTTGTGCCACGTCATTATGAATGATCAGTAAATCACTCCACTCAGTAAGTTTTCTTATGCATGTTTTTCTTGATGGCAAAGTCAGAGATGCAAGCGCTAAGGATCAAGTATGTTTCCATTTTCTTTTGTGGGAGTTAAGGGACAAGGTAGTCAATTTAGCACTAGGAAAATAACCTACAATAAAAAATTACTTACAAACAGTATGTAAGAGAACAGAGACAAAACATGTAGCAGGAGGAAAAACTTCTTGCACATTAAGAAACAGCCCAAGCCTCAACACGTGACACTTAGAAATTCCTACAGCAGCTGTGCTACATGACAGATCTGTGCTTGCAAAGAGGCCCTTTCTAGTTAGAACAACCTCACAGCTTTGCTGCAGATAAGGTTGTACATCCAACCCCAATCACAAAATTGCACAGTCTCCGAAAAATATATTAACTGTACCAGGAGTTCCCAATTTAACACCTTTAGACACATGCTCAGCTCACATGGTCCATCCAGATACTTGTATATTTTAAGGGAAAATGCTTTAAATTTACTTTAATAACTTTCTAAACAGACAATCATAGCACATCAGCTAGCAGCCTGAATGGAGACTAACGGCTGGTCTTCTCCAGCTATCTTTTCCCTCTGTGAAACAGGGAAGTAAAATTTAAAAGCATAAAGCCAAACAGTACGAAATCACCAAAGAGGAGTTAACTATTCAGCTTTATTCAGCTTCTGCAGGAAGCCCTCTTGGTTTTCTTTTCTAGGAACTCAGCACTTCAGCAGAAGCAGCTAGACCCTAATGAGGATACTTATTAGATCCCAGAGTAAAACCAAACTAGGTGAACATGAACTCACTACCATAACACCATTCAAACTATAAAAAAATCAATAAGGAGAATCTTAACTTGTAAAGACAAGACCAAAAACCAAGTATCAAAACTACTTACTTTCTGTAAGCTGATTTCATTAATGTAAACCAGCAGTACTGAGTCATACAGGTCCTTCTTTTATCTTACGGTTCTATCAACATAACAGTCCCCTTCCATCACCACCCTCCCGCCCAAAACACAATGTATCTACTGTGGTGCTACCCTTTGGTCTGCATATAGATGCTGCACAGTCAGCTTACTTTTCCTTCTTTTCCTGTTTGTGTGCTTCCCTCGCAAGCTGCGCAGCTTTTCTGCTGTAAGGGTGGATAACTTTCTTCTCTTGCTTCCCTCCTTGGGTTTTTCGCAACTTTGGCTGAAAAGAAATCAAAGATGCTATATACTATTGAAGTTAAGTAAAACATCAAAAGTAAGACAGGAGCACACATTACAGCAAAGACTTAGAAAGTCATGCATCAGTATCTCAGAAAGCCCTTAACTTAGAGTAGCAGCTTATCAGTTCCACCAGTTAGATCTTACCCACCTCAGTAACAAACAAAACTATCTGAACATAGTACATGCTGTAACAAAACTTCTGAAGTACAGAAAATGCTGTAAAAAGAACACAACTAACTTACAGGGTGACTACTGTCAAAATTGCCATATTTTAGAACCCCACAGGTACAAAACTGAGATTACCTTTCTGTACGTTCACTGTACAAGTTCCCATTTGAGACGCTATCCGATTGCCACACCTGGGTTTCTGGCAAAGGCCATACATAATTCGTATAACACAACAACTATTTTCTTGTCCCTCCCATCAGCCCATGCCGACGCCTCACACCAGGGAGCAGAGAGAACTTTCCCTCTCTAGCCCTTCACGCAGCAGAGGGCCTACTCACAAACTCCAAAAAAAATGCTGCAACACTAGCTTAATTTATATTACTTTTCGGTCAAAAATTGTTTGAACAAGACTGAAAGGCTTTATCACACAACCGTGGAAGGGGGGGACGGAGCAGCTTTTAAACGCAAAGCCGGG